TTTCGAATATAAATTTAAGAATCTGTAAAAATGTGCTATTACCTATGCAGTTTCTTCTTCCAGAACTGAATGGTAAAAAACATTTGGGATCGTAATTGCCTGGTAAAAACCGATCAGGATTAAATGTTAAAGGGTCCTTCCAATATTTATCGTTTCGGTGAAGTACAAATATAAGAAGTATTAGAGAACAATCTTTCGGTATTACCACATTCTCGTTCACTTAAAAAAATAAATAAACACATATAATTAGTACATAAAATAATAATGCGAGTGGTAAAAAATATATACATATAGTCATATAGTATATGTAGGAATACCTCTCAAATCTTTTGATAAAATTCGACCTATGATAGGACCAGCAGGGAAGAGACGTAATGTCTCCTTGATAACACGCTCCAAATACTTCATTTTTTTAATATCTTCAAGTGTAATAGAAACATCTTCCGRATCGTTCGAACCGTAYATTTGGTAYAACTCTTCGTATATTTGTTGCTGCAATCAGAAATGAGAAAAATAAGAAGATAAAAGGTTAGTATGAAAATATATTTGATTTTTGATGAACTATTTAAATGCTATCTRTATATACTTGAACTTCCGGAAATGTAGCAAYCATTAAAAATACRAAAGCAAGTGTTCCAGACGTAGTGTCGCTTCCCTAAAAAGTAACACAAATTATTATTTAATTTTATTCAATAGAAAGAAATTGCATTTTATCTACAATAAACTCAACTTACTGCAAAAACAAATGTATGAATTTCATCACGAATATCTTCCTCCGAATATTCTCCTGTCTCGTAAAATGATTTAAATAGCAAATCAAGAAATGTACTTGTTTTTTTTCCTATATTCAGAAAAATATATTATATATTATTTGGTATTGTTATAAAAATTTTGTTTTCATAAATTGATTAATACCAAAATATTTTGTCAAACAGTTATACTTACTTGCATCTGACGCTTCCAATTCTGGAGTAATTTCATCTTTTTGCATTGACTCTTTTTTTTCYCGTATAATCTTGACGAATGAAAGTTGTATACATTAGTAAGATATGATTTTGTTTTAGCAATAGAATATTTACACAAAATTAAATAATTTGAAATAAGAATAATTTTTTTATTTATACCTCATTCGTGATTTTATTAAAGTGAGAATAAAGTTCCTGTAATCTCTTTCCCATAGATGAATTGTTAAAAATAATATTAGGATGTAACCAGACTTTAAAAATTCTTTGCATACCTATGTCCATGATTCTGAATAAGAATAAAATTTAATAAGAGAAAACAAATATGGAATAAAATTGCATTATATTATAGATATTAAAATATTCTATTAATTATTACTCTGACATATATTCATCAAGTTTGCATTCGGGATTTTTCTGCAAATCAAGATCACAGCTTAAAAAGCTATCTGTCAGTACAAAAAGAAAACATAYTTTAATTAACTTACTTATATTTATACAAATACTTGAAACATTTAAGAAWCAATTCCAGATCTCACCATATACTATATCSAAAGTACATAGATGTACSTRATGCAGGATATYTATATTTTCTCCGYTGGTAGTTTCTAAATTTGTAACTAGTCTTTTTGTATTTTTTACTATTGAGTCCATATGGGTTGAGCGAATTGATTCTTTAAATTCTTCAYTTAAGAGTTTTCGATGAGTTGCCCATTTTAATGCTTTAAATAAAAGAATATTTCTTACTTAAATTTCTTAAGTTGTTTCGTTTTTATATATTCATTAGTTAAAAAATAAGAAAAAAGAAATTCTTTTTATACACCTATATATTTGTGAGACTGTAAACATTTTACGCTTAGATAAAGAAAAGTAGTACTTTTACCAGCATTCCTTTGTAAGACATTTAAAAAAATATTCTTTTGGATTATTATATATATTATAACATATGAACGTGTTGATTACCTGGAGCAGTAAACAACCCATTACCCAGAATAGGTTTAAAGAAATCATACATCAGATTTTTCTCATAACTGTTAGACCTTTTTGTTATAATCTAGAAGGAAAACAAAAAATTAATCAAAAATAAAAAGCAAAGAATAAAAGAAGAAAAAATCGTGTTTATTCATTAAACGGCATTGCAGTAAATCTGATGAATTTTACCTCAATATTTTTAGGATCATCAAATAATATAGATAATTTTGGACCTATCCAGAATCGCCATGGTGATGTATATTTGTTAGATAGTTTTAACATTTTATTGGTAATATCTAAAAAAAATATCTTTAACTGCGTTAACAAAAGTATAGATATTACAAATATGAAATAGAATCATACCGTCCATAGACCCGAAAAGCAAATACAGGTTTCCAATGAGAGGAAAAGCTTTTGGTCCCGGCATTCCTTTGACCATATTATATTCACAAAATTTATTTATTAAATATCTAATTATATAGTATAATATAATTATTATTGCTGTTTTAGCAATAAATGTATCGATATACTCCATGATCAATCGAGCAAACTAAAAATTATAGAAGAAGTAAAAATTGTTTAAATATAACACTAAGACCTCCTAATGTAAATTTGGAACAAATATTACGTAAGCATTGCACAGAAAATTCTAGTACACTTCGCGTCTTAACAACAAGTGGCAATATATAAGCAAACGGAAAGCCTATTTATACAAGACTAAGAACATAATTTGTACAGACGTCAAAGATTGTCCGTATGAATACTAATTTGCATATACGTACGTACTATATAATTTCTAAGATTAGAGCAAAAAAATTAATAGAAATAAATAATCTATCCTCACATACACACAAAGAAATCTTGTTTTTTTCCCTTTTTTCTATTTGATTTTGTATTATACTTGAAAAAAATTATTAGATAATCGAATATAATCTGACGAATAGCAAGAAGTATATTGATTATGATCAGATTAAAGGAAYTTCGTTTTGCATTATTAGAAATGCAATATAATGATCAGTTTTAGTTTTTCGAGATATAATACGTAGTTGTTCCTATCTTATGAAATAATAAATTTATATGGTAGAGACATTTACATCTGGTCGCAYATCAGCATTTTTTAAAGATTGCGTCAGAGTATTGTCAGAATGAAGCGAATATTTAGCTCCCAGMAACTTTTACACGTATATATACATTTATCTACTAGCGCAGGAGCGATTGAATTAATTTTTATCGTTTTCAATAAAAGGTCGCTTGCGATAATCGAAAAATAATGGGAGAKTACTTCTCARTGGAGATACATTCGAATACATATTTTTATTTTTTATTTATCTYAATCTTATTCGTGAATTCCTAAATATTTGATTCACGATAACGTCAATTTATTAACTCTATTCAAACAAAATAAAACCAATTTATATTCTATTTATAACGACTACACACACGCAAACGTACGATTATTTTCACGATCTATGCATAATATGTTGACAATAAAAATATAGAGTTTTATATTAGGCAAGGATAGTTATATTCAAGAATAGAAAAGAATTATATTTTTTTGTAATGTTATTTCACTTGTGTCTATGATAGACTTTGTAAAAATTTGTATACGCATAAAACGAAAGAATCTTTTTATCTCTAATCGTTTTTTATTCTTTTTTCCCTCATTAATTACAATTGCTCTGTTTAGATGTCGATCATCTATAAAATACGCTTTTAATGAAATCACGCTAAGGAGATCAATTATACAATTCTACGTAGTAGACGTATATAACATAAAAATTTTAATGTATTCACATGATATCACATTTATTCTAGATATAAACATTAAACGTCGTGTTATTCTCCAAATAAGTAAATATTYSKMGAATGAAAGATACTCAATAACTTTTAGATAAGAACGTAACGTGATTTTTTTCTATCGAAAAGCAGATATACTTTGCAAAGTTACATACGTTAGCTAAACGAATTTTAAAGCGGCATGTATATGTGCGCGCGCAGATGTATAGGTTAGTAGAAAAAAAAAGAAAGAAAAAAAGAAAGAGTAGGGAATTAAATAAAAAGACGCAAGGCCATGTATCGTATGTACGTACATAAGAAAAATAAGTAATAGGAGTGAGGGGGTTAATTGTGATAAGTAATAGAATGGGATGTCGATGACGACGAAAAAGAACGTGTGAGAGAGAGAAAGAGTGAGATGGTAATGGAAAAGGGACAAGCAGAATCACTTTTCTCAGGAAGGAAGGAAGAAAGTTATGTGTAAATTTCAGTCTAATTATATTAGTGAGACTGCGCAAAATGCCACAAAAAGTGTGACAACYTTTTGTAATGATTGCCCTCATAAGCCATACTATGCAATGAATGTTTTAAGAAAATTCATCGCTATATGAAAATATAAGTCAAGTATAGGACATACTTTCTATTTCGTATTCACTTTTGTACGTAACTTTAATTTCAATTAATCTAAATAAAATAAATTCAATTGATATATATATTATAGGCATCCTTTATTTTTATTTACGGGGAAAGATAGGTGTGTAGAACGGTGTTTTTACAGTGATTATTATGAATTTTTTTAACACATACGGAATTTTTATTGATATCGTAAGATCATTTTACACATATATTTGAGAATATATTCTGAAATTTCCAAAGATCTTCCTCGTAAAGTAACGGAGATATCAGCTGCCGCGCATTATAGGTCACCTTCCGACTTAGCAGTTTCTGTACACCTGGAGCCCGCAATTTTTATTTGAAATCAATCGCACAGAGAATTTACTTTTTTTATATGTGTTTCTTATTTGTGAACTTCACTTTTCATAAAAAAACTGACAATTAGTATTTTTAGAGGAGTATGAACATGAAGCATGATTTTTTGCCAATTTTCGTACTTTTTTTTTTACAATAAAAAAATACTTTGAACAAAGATATTGTTTAGATTTTAGTTTAAACAGAGCGTATTTATATGAAGAAGTTATATAACAAAGTTCTAAATGATCGGTAGACAACTTTTTAGCTAGAATGTACGCAAATCCGAAAAAAGTTGTTTCGAGAAAAACGCGTTTGAAAARAAACTCGACCGCTCCTATTATTACATTCCACGTGCTCCGACACTTGAACGAAGGACGCTCACTTAWTCGCTTATAACTTTTRAATAGATTTACTTTATATATATTTTTGAATAGATTTACAAGCGATTTATAAAAAGCACGGGTGTGTGTAATTATGTACGCATTATTTCCTCCTTCTAAATACGGGAATAGTATATAATAATAATGAGGGTGAGAAATTCACTATCGCTTTGAAACATGTTAGAAAACATACAAATATCACTTGTGAGAAAGTTTAATTGAAAGAATATATCAACACCTGCCTATTAATGCTAACAACTGCCTAGTAATCTCGCCTTCCTCTCATCCATACCCAATTCGACGTAGTACTGGTCGCAACGCAAAAAAGATTTATTTGCAATGATTCGACAAATCGGAAAAGCAACGATGTTTTTAAAACTCAGTGCAAAAGAAATCGGATGGATTCCATTCATTCACAAACACTATATAAATTGAAAAATAATGGTACTCAGCTCACAGAAGAACAAGCATCTGACTTACATTTCATTGAAAAGAGTACATTAATAAATGAAGATGCAGTGACCTGTACCATTTACTTCAATAAGCTTGTCAATGTATTAATGAACATTTTGGAATCGAAGAAAATTAGCCCGTTTGGAAAATATCGTCTTATGCATTACTTCAAGTGTATTGAGTTCCAACATCGTGGCAGTCAGCATGCACACTTATTGCTCTGGCTCGAAAATGCTCCAAAGAATCCACTTGGTAAGGATTATATCAGTGCAATTGAAATGATCGATGAACTTATATCAGTGTCAGCAAGAGAAGCTTCCGGAAATATTAAACTTCAAACGCACGAACATATCTCCATCTGCTGTAAACAGATAATTGCAAACAGACCACAGAAATGCTGATTTTAAGCACCTTTTATGCAATGCCGTTCCACTACGATCGTCACACCCATACCTAACAATGATCCTTCATTTACACAAAATGCACAACATTATACAAACATTAAACACATATTTATTACACATCTCTGGAAAATGAAGTTTAAGAGAACATCGATGACTTCTACGAGAAAAATAATATTACTTCCGATCAGCACTACCTGGACATTCTGGGGAACTGGGATTACTCAACCATGAGTTTTCTTAAAACGAAATCCAAGCGAAAAGTGGCATAATCCTTTCAACCCATTCATTTTTCATATCCTCAAATCTAACACCGATATATTAGGTGTACAAATAAGTTTCCGCCGTTTTTTATTAAAAATTAAGTATTTATTCTAGAAGAATGGTAATTTTAAGGTTATTTAAAATACTGTCCATCACTTGCAATGACTTTTTCCCATCTCTCAGGCAACATTCGGATCCCACGTCGGAAGAACTCCTTGTCTTTTGAGGCTATCCACGAATGAACCCAATTT